TCATTCATAGAAAAGCAATAGACAGGATTGGAGTTGGGTAAGCTACGGCCTACGAAAGTATTTACCAGACCCACCGAGCACCATGGGACCATCCTGGAATAGAAATGGATAGTCTACGATATAATAATTATGTACTGTGATGAACAATAAATGTTGTTTAGTACCTATGAGGTTTTTTAGCTGCTTATGAAATTTTATTTTAATGTCCGCCTGGTAGATTAATTTAAAACTTGAGACAGGTATTTTTTCTTTTCTCACAAAATTAAATACTTTCGACGATATATTAATTTGAAATATCATGTGACGTCACAGCGACCTCCCACTCCTAAACTTAGCGCCATTTTATCTAAGTATTACAACTTAATACGAGAATATAAAAAAAATACGTGTCTAATATTTTTTCATTATGTAATTGATGGACTAATTATATTTTTAATTTATACCCTGGAAACTACCCAACTACATATATATTAGTTATTTTAGGACAATTAATGCGACATAATTGATTAAGTATTATTGGCTTGTTCCATGATAAAATGCGGAATCGATGTAGATATTTGGCATAAATTTCTTTCTGGAAGTTTAAAAATAACCGTAAGTTTAATAATAACAACAATAAAAATAACAAGACATTGTCTTAGAATTAGATTCTTAGAATAAAAGAGCAACTAGTGTAATTAATAAAAATAACAAGTTTTATCTTGTCGAACTAGTTTTTTGAAGACAAAGATCTTCCAAGCTAGTTGCATTAAAGATTTTAAATACCCATTAATTTGTTCGAAAATATCTGCTTGTAAAATATATCTTATTATTAAGTTATTATTAAAAACTATACTGCTTTATAGCAGTATATTTTTGAGGAGCAAATTACAGCAGTGCTCCGAAACAACGTAAAAAATTAACAAAGTGCATGTATCTCACGTAGGTACAATAGGGATGATGACAGGGTATGAAAATTAAAAATGTAATTAGTCCGTCAGTTAGGTAATGAAAAAATATTAGACACGTAGACACGTTTTTTTTTATTTTGTTGTATGATTTAATGATACCTACTTAAATATAACGCATCAAAGTTTAGAAGTGGGGGCTAAAACGTCATTTCTACGTATAAAATGTTCATAGAAGTGACGTCACGCGACATTTCGAATCAATATATCTTCGAAACTATTCGTTTCAGTAAAAAAATAAAAAATACGTGTCTAATGTTTTTAAATAATTTACCAGACGGGCATTAATATAGATTAGTCATCTACTCTATTACATAAATAAATGAGAACCACCTTATTTTATGAAGTTGGTTAAAAAAGGGTTTGGAGTGGATGGATGGATTTACAGCGTTTTCAAAACCGTCCGATTTGCTTGATCATTTTTACGTTAGGAAAAACACGCGATCATCCCGTATGTTATCAATTTACTTAATATGAAGTAAATTGAAGAACAATAACGTCTTTGTGAAGGTTTATCATATAAATGACAGCATAATGAGGCTTAGATACTGTTTACTTATTCGGTTAAGCTATGGATTTATGGATACATACGGTAATGATACCTAATAGACATAAAACAGTCTCCAATTTTATCTAGTCATATAAGTAAATGGGTGATGAATGGATAGTTTTAGGTGCTAGGTAACCAGACTTCTTTTTCAGTAATATGCAAAAAAAATATAACAAAGAATGGTGAGAGTAAATTTTTCAACATTCAATTTTTTTGTGTTTATGACGCACTGCTTATGCTTAGCGCCTATTGATCGTAGCGTGATGTTTTATAGCTTATAGCCTTCTTCGATAAATATAACTATACAACACAAAAATATATTTTCAAATCGGACCAGTAGTTCCTGAGATTAGGACGTTCAAACAAAGAAACAGACTCTTCAGTTTATATAATATAAGTAACACATAACAATATAACATCACGCCTTTTATCCTCGAAGGGGTAACACCCACTTTTCACTATTTATGTTATAAGGCCCATGTAATATTGACTGCACGGTTGGTGCGGTGGCTGAGCAACCGGCTGCCGTGCAACGTGTCGCGGGTTCGATTCCCGCACGGAACAACACTTTGTGTGATCCACAAATTGTTGTTTCGGGTCTGGGTGTCATTGTGTATGTGAACTTGTATGTTTGTAAACGCACCCACGACCCAGGAGAAAATCCTAATGTGGGGCAACGTTTTTTAAAAGATAAAAAAAAATAGAGGGTGAGCTTATTGCCATATACCGGGCACAATTCCAGACTCCGTACTACTACTGAGAATTTATAAAAAACCCACATTTACTTTGCTCGACCCGGGAATCGAACAGCAGTCGGCAGTCGCACTTGCGACCACTCGACCAACAGGCAGTAAGTAAGTAAGTGTCTGTGTAACAACTATAAGATATATCTGGCTTATTATATAAAACTTGAGTTACGGTTTATATAAACAAACAAAATATTTAAAGCAAGATTACAATAATAAATAACTCTACCAACGTTTTTGCAACTGTTGTGTACAGTGAAAACTTTGCAATTCCAAAGTGTGCCAACAGAATTGAGATCACAGCTATTTGTCATAATTACTTAAACACAAAAGACAAATAACACAATACATTTTGATTTTTTTTTTGTTCATATACTGTGTTACT